CTATAAAAGCCACATATCTATCAGAGTAGCTGTTCAAGTAAGGGAGTAATTGTGTTTCAGTCTTTCATAGCTAGGGTTCCAAAATTTCTGCAACTATGTGAAATTAGACAAAAATCAAACAATATGGATTTGAATGTTTGTGCACCCTGCTAACAAAGACTATAGTATATGTGAACAATGATCCAGTGCTCTCTTGGGTGTAGCTAAGTCATCATATTAATCCACCTCCCACACTCATTAATGATTAATGGCTGATGCAAACCTAGCCAAAAATAAGCACTCCTGCATTGGCATGAGATAAGAATATGAAAATAACCAAAAAGGTAAATGTTTAGGGAGACCACCATGCTTGATTCGTTTATGATAAAAAAAAATATATATATTCAAAGTAATAGATAGAAAAAAGTTCATTATCTCACAACTATTTTCTAAATGACATTATGGTAAACAATAAATGCATGATGATCCTTGAACATCACCTTCAACCACTTGTTGATTCCTTTACAATATAACCTGGTTGAAAATGATGATGAGATGAATAATGTAAAAATCAATTATCCTTTCCCAACTACTTGGGTATAACCCAATCCTCCCATCGCCTCTGCTACATGCAGGCAGCCAACCCTCCAAACTCATGTGTTAGATCTGGGCTGAGTGTTTAACAGTGTGCCAAATAGTATTAGAAACACAATGCAGAGCTCTGTGGAAGTGTTTAAATGAAAATTAGACAATTGGCCGAATTCAGTACTAGACGAACCATGAAAAAGTGGTAGTGAAAGAATGAGGGCTGAATCAAATTCTATCCCTCATAAAGTTCAGTGATTAGTAGCTGAAAGATGGGCAGTTCCCTAAGATGACTCAAGCATGAGCAACTCATAGGGCTCTTGTTTAAACTTGCACAAAGTAACCAAGTAATATTGTGGTCAAAGCCAAACAAAATATCTAGACAACACTGTCACCCAGGCTTGGGCCAAAAGCTTGACAGGTCAAGATAGACCTGACACCTAGGTGCAACAAGTTAATAATAATAATTATGAAGCAAACAAACAGACACATTTCATAATTTGATGACAACATAAACACCATTAACACTGTACCTTCTTTTCTCCAAAGCTTATAGAGGAAAGATATATGTAGAGAAGGCTTGGTGCGAAGAGAAGCACAAACTCTCGCAGTCGTTCATCTTTACTACGCGCCAAAGCAAACAACTGCCTCACAGTATTCTCGAACAGATCTGGGCACCTAGTCAAAAATAAGTATTATCATGATACCATATTGGCTTTGATTCTATATAGATAAAGTATAGGAAATCTTAACCCCATGATGTCAGGCATATGCAATGCTCACTATTAGTTTGTTTCATTACCTCAATGCTATGTTCACAGTGGTTTTGTTCTGTGAAATGTCTTTACTTTTACTAGATACCTCCACAAGTGCTCAGCCACCAAGTAGACCTACGTGACCTCACCTGATTCCCGTGTCCTTGAGCTTTCAGATTTTTTTTTTTTCCCTAATGCTATCAATATTTTTGTTATTATATTATAGACCTCTGTTATTATAGACATTAAAATCACTAAATTGCTTTAAACGTTACTAATAGCAAAATAAGTTAAAAGAAAGTATCAATAAATCAAGGAAATTGGTAAATGGGTGACATAGGTAGTACTAAAAATTTACCCTCTGGTGACTAAGCACTTGTGGAGCTATCTATGTGTAGCGGTAATTAATAAATCAAACTCAGTGGGTATGGCATGTACATACATGCCATCCCTGGGAGTATTGGGCTAATTGTTTTTGCATGATGATGGTTCAACAAGCACTTAGTCACCAATGACCCAGTTATTAAGCTTACCTGACCACACCTGCTTACCCAATTCCATCAGTTGTCTATGATTGTTAAAATTGCCTTTAACACTATTATTGTTATTATTATCATCATTATTATTATTAGCATCATTATCATTATTATCATTTTTATTATCATTACTATTAATATTATGATTATCATTAGCATTATTATTATTATTATTATCAATATCATCATCATCATAATTATTTTGAAAATACCACAACAACAATAATAACAGGAATAGAATTAAAGACTCTTTTCCCAAAAGTTCAAGGAATGGCATATACCGATGAAGCAGGGTAGGCCTGGTAATTGACTCTTTGGTGGCTATGTGCATGTGAATATATGCATGCACTCCTTGCATAAACAGGGATTAACCAATTTATGAGTCATTCTAATCTACTGAAACAGGACTACTCCACTGAATTATAACTCAAGTTGCCCAGGCTACCAACTTCCTTGTTAAAATATATAAAATTAGTTATTGATAATATCAATCACATGGAATGATAAATGTATAGATTTTTAATGAAAATATAACCAAATGATACCACAGTAACAATTTTCTATATTATCATCAGCTCAACATGTCTCTTAGCTATCAGTGGTGGCAACATATAAATAAAATATTAGCTAACAGTAACAATTTTC